GCTATAACAGCACAGAGGATTTACGACTGAGTGGGTTTTTTCCAGGGTGGGCTGGCCACAGTCTGGTGATGGCCTTTTTATAACCGTTATCAGCTCCCACACAGACCAGGTCCATCTGTTACTTAATTTGGACGGAGACACTCCTAAGCTTTTGTTCACTAATCACTCGCTGCACATCTACATTGTTCTCCAGCAGGGCAGCCCACCCCGGAGCCAGGCTTGGCTTGCTGATCTCAGGGAGACACCGTGGAAAAATGGAATAAAAAAGGCATGCAGCTCACTCAGGTCACTGGACCAGCTCCCTTCTCTCAGCTTGAGGGGCTTTGAACCTGCCACTTGGGTGCCAGAGCAAACATACAACCAGCTCCTGGGGCTGGAAGTTAAGACTGAGCACTACAAAAGGTTTATGCACCCATTATAAATCCAGTCTTTATGTATCACAAGTACGTTTAAGTCCCTTGAGCTATTCTTGAAGCTCCAAAGAACAGGACAAAAAAATCCCCCAAAATATAACCAAAAAATGCCAAACACACTGGTCTCTCATTGCTGTGCCATGCTGTGTTGTCTGCCCTGCACCACCTGGCACAAGTTGCATTGTATGATCACAAAGAGACACACTGGGGATAGAGAGGAGGGGGGATAAAGAGCCTGGAGCACTGGGAGACAAAAGGATGGATATTTCGAGGCAGATGGTCAGATGTTCCTGAAAGGGCTTATGGTGATTTCCTCAAAATAAGCTGCGGGCAGAAACCCGGCCTCCCCCTTCCTTGTCTTGTCTTACCCAGCCCAGCTCTGCGTGGCTTCCTCCGCTCTTCCTCTGGGGTTTTCCCCCACATTTCACCATCAGCTTCCTCCCTGCACACACACACAACCCCTGGGAGGCAGGGACAGGGCTGGGGGCTGCTGTCCCTCACAGCTCTCCTGCCTGGGCTGGCTTTATCCCCGCCACTCCCAGGGTGGGGATGGATGCTCCAGGGGCACCTCCAAACTGGCAGCCAACAACGTGCCGACGTGCAGAGGGTTCAGCTAACACGTTTTAACACCTAACAACATATCACTGGCTCAGTAGCTCTCCTGCTACACTGAGTAACCACCCGGAGAGCCAAGATGCTTAACAAGGCATGTGGTTTATCGCAGCATTCCCACATGGCTTAGACACGCTTTGAATTGCAAATCAAGCAAGGGCTTAGTGATGATGGACACCTCAAGCAAGGCATATTTTTGTTGGTTTAGTGGGCAGGTGTTTAAATACAGCTGCGTGGTTTTTGTACTGCTTGTGCCTGACAGTGCATTAACTAAAATTACCGTATCAGATAACCGCGATATCGAGCGATGCTGCAGCACAGACTGTTGGCAGCAACTCATCCCAACTGTTTCCTGGTCATCCTTTTACTTTGCCTGCAGTTCTTCAGGAACACTTCACCCCCTCTTCAAGTTTCTGCCTGGAGTTTTCAAGCAGAGACGGGGATGGAAGGAGATGGAAGGTCAGGCTTGGCTTTGAACGGTTCAGAGAGAGGAGATTTAACACATCAAGTTGTCTATAAAGCTGCTTTTTTTTTTCAGTATAGCATTTTAAAATGATTCAGATAACATGAGTCACAGTAACAAGCATGGGCTGGATCTCTTTAGCTGAAAAAAAAAAAAGTGCCATAAGAAAATGCTATAGACTTCACTGCCTTGTCCTGGATTCTATTTTGGAGGACTGATGACATTTGGGATTCAACCATATGTCTGGCTGATTCTGTAGCACATACAGATCTGGTAGGTATTCAGGAGTGTAGAACATACAGATCTGGTAGGATTTGGGAGATGCAGCGCACAGAGATCTGGTAGGAGCTGGGAGATGCAGCACATACAGATCTGGTAGGAATTCAGGGATATCGAACATACGGATCTGGGAGGAATTCAGGGATGTAGAACATGCAGACCTGGTAGGTGCCTCTGCTGTGGCACATATGCTGCTCTGGAACTGGAATTCATGGCTATTCCTGCTGTTCTCCAAACCCTGGGTGCCTTTGAAGTGAGATTTACATAACACCAAACCCTTGCTGCTTATTTGCACTGGGCTAAAGGAGGCCTATAGGAACACCTTTGGAACACTCCTTTCAAAAGGTGGCTTAAGCACTAATGATGATTTAACACTCAGAACAAAGCAACCCTTAAGTGTGGTCACTGAAGGGACAACCCTTGCCCACAGCAGGGAAATGGGACAGGGCAGGGGTCACCCCAGCACTGATTTACAGACATCTGGGGAGCACTGGCTTGGTGAAGATTCCTGCAGCTCCAGGGAGACTGGAGAACGAGGCATACCCAAAAGTAATGCTAAGAAGAGCTATTAAGGCACTCTGCCCCTGCTCTGCAGTCTGTATGGTCACTTGAGGTTTGTGTTTTGGTTTGCTGTCGCCTTCTTGTAATTTAGAACATGCTACTTGCAGCATTCTGCCACAGAGAGGAGAATAAATCTGTCTTAGCAGTGATTTAAGGAGCCACATTGATCTCTGCCCACGGTCAATACACGTAATAATGTCAGAGCCTCTCACACAGTCTCCAAGGACTCAGCTTCTGCCTTAAAATTTGTTGTCATCCTGCTTCGTGCCTGAGGGATAGACCTGAATCTCTTGTGTTTAGTGGGTGAGAAAAAGCCTGCTGTGAACAATTTCTGAGCAGTGAGATGGGGCTGGAGCTGATGGAGTCCCACTGTCTTGGAGTGAACATTTGTGGAGTCATAACTCCCTCAGAGCAACACAACACTGTGGTTTTACCATCCCCTCCTACAACTGAGCTGATATTGTAGCTGCAGCAGATGTACCTCAGCAGGACTGTTATCATGATGTCTCTTTGATGGGGCACCATTTTTCTGAAAAATTATGTTGTGTAAGCAAGAATCCATAACAAAACCCAAACTGGTACAAGTTTCCTTTAAGGAACGAGGAACCCTTTCCCTCTCCTTCTTTCTCTAGTTTTTCCAAGAGGAAGATATATAGGGTAGCACTGACCAGGTAGATGCTGTGGAAGGTGCCTTCTGTGGCTCTTCAGGTGCTCTGCAGGTTTTGGAATGGTCCCATCACTTGGGAGTTGTTTCCATAACTCACTTCCCTGATGGTGCTGTCTCTGAAGAAAGCAGAGCCCGCAGCTTCCCCCTTTTTGAAAGCTGAGCCAAATTCCTTCTTAGAGCCACCTGTCCTGAGCAGGAGGCCAACCAGCATCTCCTCAGATCAGCTGAGTGCTCAGAGCTGGGCTCTCCATTAATTCTCCCTTGGTTCCAGAAGCAGGAACAGCAGAGCCCACCAAATGCCTTGTTTGTGTGAAGATCCCTACATTGCTGTTGAAAATATGCCCAAATGCTGCATGAGTGTCTGTAGTGCAGAGGAGGGAAGGGTGGAAAGATCCTGCAGTTTTGGCCAGGCCAACTATTAGTTTGCATCAGCCAGTGGCTTTTGTGTGAGTAACAATGATTTTTGTACAAAAAAAAACCTTGCCAAACTTCAGCTCTCCCTGGTGGTCTTCAGGGTATCAGCACCGGGGCTCCGAGGAAAGCAAACAATGAGGGACAGGAATCAGCAGAGAACATTTCAAAATTCCTGGAAGGATTTTAGGTGTTTAAGGCCCTCGAGCTTTCAGTGGGAGTGCCTGTGCAGCTCTTGAGTGTTTCTCAGACTGCTGCCTTGCTCTCTTAGACTGAGCCACTCCACCAGAGGAGTTTCCCCTCTGCGTTGTCAGGGTCTCTCTCCAAAAGCTTCCCACCCTGAAAGCCAGCAGAGGAATTTGCACCTGTTTGTCACGATGCTGAAGATCATTTCTTTCTCCACGTCTCCCTTCAGCTGCCTTTCCTGCTTTCTGTTCATGCTTGTTATGATGTTTTGCTCTGCCTAAGACAGTCCAAACCTTTAGCTGCCTCTCGTGTCACTGAGGCACCAGTTCCCATCATCTTTAACCTGCTGTGTGATCAGTGCCCAGCCAGGTCAGTGGGCATCCATCATCCATCCTCCCTTAGCTTTCCATGAGCTTCTGATGGGCTTTGGCACAGCAGAGCTGCACGAGGGGCCACGGCAGACCCCTGCAGCTGATTATTTTGGCACTAATTAAGGTGTGTGTCCTCCTCCTGTATGAGACAGGGCTTTGGAGCAGCGTGATTTGTGAACACCAGAGCCTGACCGAGAGGCTTTGCAACAGCCAGAACACCCAGACCCAAAATATCCTCTGTGATGAAGGTGTTTGGTTCACTTTCTTCCTCCTGTGCCACGCCAGGCACTCCCTGCTTGTTTCCTTCTCCCTCCAGGGAGCTGTTGGTGAGTTGGGTATCCAGTAGAATATGAGTGTTGTTGGTACCTGCTCTGGTGGCATGAACAACAGAAGGGACATGGGAGGCAGATTTTTCAAAACAAAATAACACATGAAGGAGGGAAAATGACTGGATTAATTGGGAACACGTTGGTGCTCAGAGCAAGAAGGGAACAAGCAAGCTGGTGGTACAAAGAGTCTCACAGCTGAACTCCTGTCTTCCCCTTTCATGATTTATTACCTCACATTTTACATTACCACGCTTAAAACCCTTCAGATGTCATCAGCATGTGTTATGGGCCAGGCCTGGCACTTTCCATTTCCAGGCACTGACCAGATCTCTGGAGGTTGCTCTGCTTCCTCCCTTTTCCTGACCATCAAATTCATTTGCAAAATAAAGACTTTCACTCCTGCATTATCAGAGTTCTTTTACCATCTAACTAAGCACAAGGCACAAGGAAATGGCTCATGCTGTCACTGCTTTTGTGCCATTATGTTAATCCTCCTCTTTAATTGCTACTTCTAACAATTATATTTTCCTGTATTTACACCACAACTCCTAAATAAACTTAGTCCTGCTGGAGCAGAGTTAGTAGCCAGGAAAAGGTTTTATCTGGGGAAGCCAGCCCTCAGAGATGATTTCTCAGCAGGCAGCGTGTTTCTAGCTGGGTGACTTATGAGCTGTGCTATTTCTTATTACCTTCTGTTTGTTTTTCCAGGCTGCAGACTCTTGGCTGTGGAGCTGATCTCCAGCAACACCCAGCCCGTGGTGCAGGAATTCCAGAGTGAGTGGCTGTGCTGCCTGTGGGGATTTGCACCAGGCCAAAGAATTGGGGAAAATTCTTATTGGCATTTGGTTTCTTGTGGGAGGCAGGACCACGAGAGCCTGGGATTCAGAGAAGTGCCTAAGAACATGTCTTTGTTTCACCCTGTTTAAAATGGTTTATCGAGGCCCCCTGCGAGCCATTGGCATTGCCAAGTGTCTGCCTAAGTGCTTTGTTGAACTGGATCCCAAAAGAAGGAAAAGCAGTTGCCTTGCAATTAATACACTGAAGAGGGAGTCGGGAGATTTATATTTTATCTTGGTCCTCTTAAACCTGCACTGGGATTCTGGGAAGCCACCTCTCGTGCCCTGTTCTGTACAGATGAGATGCCGGTGCCAGCTTCAAAGGGGAGGGTGTCTTCTGGATTTATCCCCAGGAATCACGGTCTCAGTGCATCACCAGACACTGCCCAGGGAGATTGTGCCTCCCTGACTCACTCTGCAGCCCAGAGCAGCAGCAGGACAGTGCTGTGGGCTCATCCTGTCATCAGGGCTTGTTTGCCATAAGTCACAGCCTGCAGGGAACAGTGTGTTCGTTCCTCTCCATAGTTGATAGCTGCTTGACTATTATTTTTGCTGGCCAAAATCCATCTTCCCCAATAGCTCCTGGAACCCAGCAGTGTTTCTGTTTGTCAGATGAAAGGGAAGGCTCTGCTTTGTGGGCAGCATCTCCTAATAAAACACCGAGTGAGGCTGCCTAAAGCAGAGCAAAAATACAGCTGCTTCCTATTAATCTGTATTCCCATTATTTCTCCTGCTAGGTGTTGAGCTGTCCTGCATCATTAAATCCACTGTGACGCCAGATCCCAGGATCGAGTGGAAGAAAATCCGAGACGGAGAAACCTCTTACGTGTTTTTTGACAATAAAATGCAGGGTATGAAGATTCTTTGCTCTTAGATTTCCAAAACAGCCTCAGAAGCAGCACAATGGAGAACAAACAAGGCTGTGAAAGGCAGGAGCTCTGGCTGTCTTGCTGCTTTCTTCTGGAACAGAGTCCAGCAGTCAAAGTGCAGGATGGAGAGGGAGCAGGATGTTCTTTCCTCCCTGCCTTCATTATTGACAGGTCACAGTAGGGAGCCACAGAGAGCTGGAGAAGGTAAAAGATACTTCTTGGGTAGGAAAGCAAATGCTGCAGCTTCCCTCGTGCAGAGCCTGCTGGGCCCTGCGTGGTCACTGGGTGTCTGAGCTCTCAGGAGCAGGCACTGACCCCTCCTGTCTTTCCGTGTGACATCCGAGGGCTCCACCTGCCCTTCAGAAGGGATGTGTGTGTGGAGCTGTCAGTGCCCACTGCTGAGGCAGCACAGGGCTCTGCAGCATCCTGGGAGCACGAGATTAGAAGCAAACTCCTTGGCTTGATAGGAAAACTCCAATGCCAGTAGGGCCTGACTCCATCTGGAATTACTCCAGCACTTTAGATGGGACCAACAGCCACATCCAAATGAATCTTCCAAAGGAGACAAGGCCCGAGGCTGTCTTGGAAGTTGGATTTTGCCACTCTGTGAGATTTGGAATGGTGCTTTCCAGTCCATCCTCTTCCACGGTTGGCAGCATTGCTTTCCTTTGTGGCCTTTCAGGCATCAAGTTCCTTTTAGGTTGTTCCCTTGACTCCAGAGTCAAAGTTCAACCTCCTAATTTATATGCCCAAAATGAGCCTGTGTGACTCCCCTTGGTTTCTTCCTCTCTCTTTGCTCTGTGTCAGGAGACTTTGCGACCCGGGCAGAGATCCTGAGCCGGACATCCCTGGTGATCAAGAACACCACCCGGATGGACACGGCCACGTACCGCTGCGAGGTGGCAGCGCCCTCCGACACCAAAAGCATCGACGAGATCAACATCCAGCTCACGGTCCAAGGTACCACACCCAACCCAGACACCTCTGCAAGAGGGACCAGAAGGGGCCGTGGGTCTCTCCAGTGTCCAAACTGCAAATAACAGAAAGTTTTGACGCTTTCTTAGCCACGGTTATGGAAAGTAGGTCAGAAATGACTTAGTTCTGCTCAGCCCAGTGCCATTCACCTGCTTTGTGTCGCCCCACAGTGAAACCCATGACTCCCAGATGCACTGTGCCTAAAGCTGTACCTGTTGGCAAGTCAGCCTCTCTTCACTGCCACGAGAATGAAGGTTTCCCAAAGTCCACTTACAGCTGGTACCGCAACAGCGAACCTTTGTCACCCGACACGAAAGCCAAACCCCACAACTCCTCCTACACCCTGAACCCCGCCACAGGCACTCTGGTAATGCCCTGACAGACGTCATCAAGGCTTGTTTTGCTGGATAGGTTATTTTTAAGGTCGATTATAAAAGAAAAAGAAACATTGCCTGGCTTTCGAGGAAGGAATAATTTGGAGGTGGTGAGGTGGTCTAGGATCTGGGTGAGGTGGGAAAGGGAAGATTCATGGAAGGACATCCTGGTCCACTGATTTTGATCACTGCTGATGCCACTTACCTGTTTAGAAAGAGGGAAGATGTCTCACCATGAAGCTCAGGAGAGATGCATTTTTAGATACGTTTTTATGCCCTCACAGTGCTTTGTTTCTCACGTCCTGCTCCCTTCCCTTTATCCTTTTCTCCTCGGCAGGTTTTCCACGCAGTGCACAAAGGTGACACAGGACGTTACTTCTGCATAGCAACAAATGATGCTGGCTTTGCCAAGTGTGAGGAGCAGGAGATGGAAGTCTGTGAGTGGCTCTACATACAATTGTCATCAGTGCTGGTTGATACATCACCATAAATAAATTGCCATCACCACAAGGAATGAAGGGGGGGGCATCACAGAGCATTAAGTCTTTCCTGCTTTCTCACAGCCCCAAACACAGGAAGAAGAAAAATAATATAAAAATTCAGGGAAACATTCAAACACTGTTGAGGTCATGAACAGATTTAGTCTTGAAACCAAGGATTCACCATGAATTATTGGGGTTTGCTTAAAACATTTGAGAGGTGTCATTTTAGTGTATGTAAAGCTAGAATGTCACTGCTGCCTTAAAGAAATACTGGATGGTGGCTTCTCTCTTTGCCAGATGACCTCAATATCGGTGGGATAATCGGGGGAGTCCTGGTGGTCCTGGCAGTTTTGGTGCTCATCACCTTTGGGATCTGCTGTGCCTACAGGAGGGGATACTTTGCCAACGGCAAAGAGAGCGGAGAAAGGTAAGATGGGATCCCAGCTGTTCTTGGACAGGTCCCTGCACCCACAGCCACCATGGAGGAGGCTGAAGGGCACCAAAACTTGGAATTTTAATGCCTGACTTGGATATATATCTTCCCAATCCCCTACCAAAGCCTACAGGCCAACCCAGTCCTTGAGGCATCTCATTCCCTGCTGTAAACCCTGCACCATCCAGGTTTATCTTACAGAATCATCACAGAACGGTTTGGGTTGGAAAGGACCTTAAAAATCATCTAGTTCCAACACCCTGTCATGGACAGGGACACCTTCCACTACACCAGGTTGCTCAGAGCTCCAGCCAACCTGCCCTTGAACACTTCCATGGATGGACAGTATTCACTTAAGGGAGAATTTTGGTGTGGCTGCTCTCGTGCTTGCTGCCAACACCAGCCAGAGGATGAAAGCTGTGCTCTAATATCCTCATAATTTGCATGGGAAGGGGGGGACCAGCACAATTAAAAGCCTACAGGTGTTTTTCCAATAGATCATGTGCTGCTGGCATAACGAGGTCTTCAGTTTGATGATCAGAGCTCGCTGCACAATTAGTTGGAAGCATCAGGACATGCATAGGGAATGTATGCAGCAGAGTAGGCTCTCCACAGGAAATCTCACTAGTTGTGAGAACCTAAATTTGGGGTGAAAAACAACCACTTTACAGCACACATTAAAATGTTAAAAACAACAGCAATAGCATCAGAGACAAGCCTCGATGTCCTTACAGAGTCTGTGGAAGAGATAATATATGTAAACCCAAGATTCTCACCAGATAGATTTGTTCTGTGCTAAATGTTGCTTTTCAGCACAAGCCCTGTCTTTTTTTTTTTTTTTTTCTCTCTGATTTGGTTTGTTTTTCAGAGAAAGCTCCAAATACCTTATTTAACTGCAGCTGAGGGTTGGCATCCACCGGACCTGACAGTCGTATATAAATCCTGCATTCCTGTGGGATTGCAAACAAGTGGTGCTTCCTTATAACTAAGAAAAATGCTGAAGGCATCTGGCAGTGAAGGATTGAAATGAACTTTATAATTGCCACAGGAAACAGTGCAGGAGGCACAGAAAGGTAGTGACAGGGACCAGAGCAGGAGAGCCCAGAAAAGAACCAGTTAATCTCTTTGCAGAGTCGTGTGGAAACAGGCAGCAATCTTTTTACCCTGTGCTGAAGGGGAAATAGAAAAAATCCCAGTCATGGCAAATGATGGAATAAACACAGACCCCTCATTTGAGAAACAAACTGGGTTTCTCTCTGCTTGCTTTTCATTCAGCTGCTCCTCCTCATTTCCATCTTTCTCAGCACCTCCCCTCCAAAATCCTGCAGTCTTCCTGTCGCAGAAATGAGATTTTATTTTTTCCCTCCCTTTATTTCAGCTACAAGACTCCAGCAAAACCTGATGGCGTTAACTATATCCGGACAGATGATGAGGTAACAAATGATTTGCATTTAACATCTCTCTGTTAAAAGGAGAGGAGGAGGGTGGGCAGAGGGACAACTCGCTTTTTTGGGGCCCACAGACTTTCTCAGAGTGGGCTCCACTCCGAAACAAGGCTGGAGAACACAGGGAAAACAGAAGGGTGAAGGCTGAGTCATTTCCTTGGAAATGATGAACAGTTTAAGTTGCTTGAAGTGACTGATGCCAGGAGCTATCAGAGGCAGCTCTGCTCTGAGTTATCTCGTGGCCTGACCCCCTGGGGATGAGTTTCATTGGATTAAGTGGGCAGGACATGATGCTTTTTACGAGAGAACTTGTATTTTGGGATTTGAGCAGATCACTAAAGCTTAAGACCAGAAATAGCCTCTCCCATTAGCAGAGATACTGATGAGGGAATGGGAAAGTCCCCTGCCATGCCTTGCTGTGTGAGGACAGGAGGAGGAGGCAGCAACTCACCAGTGCAACTGGTGCCTCCCTCTCCTTCCCAGCTGGAAGATGGGGCTCCCTAAAAGCACTCTTATTTATAAACACTTTGGATCTACATTTCTGGGGGCAGCAGGAATGACAAGTTGGCTGGAAAGCTCCTAAATCCTTCCTCCACCCCAAACTGTTTCGTTGCAGGGCGACTTCAGACACAAGTCTTCGTTCGTCATATAGGACACCAAAAGAATACTGCAAAACCAGCAAAAGTGTGAAAATACCTCCTCCAGGAACTCAAAGCAAGAGCAAAAGATTAATTAAGTGCGCTTGGAAGAGTTTGGAACACACAAGAACTCGATAGCTAGCTATCTGTATATCTTTTTTTTCTTTGCCAAAGTTTAAAGTAACTCCTCACTGCCCAACTCGCGTCTCCCCTGCCTCCGGAGATACCAACAGGATCACCTAAACCTGTCCTTGGACTAAGGAAGCATTTTAATACTTCCCAAGAGACTGGGCTGTGGAAGTTTGTGGCATTGCCTTCTATTTGTGCTGCAGGGACACGGCCACAATGTGCAAACCACCCAGGGGGACAGCATTAGGTAAACGTGCAGTAGACATTGCTAGTACGTGCTACTAGTAGACAAAAAAAGGTGCTGATACAGCAGTAGATGGACTTCAAAGAGCGAGATTTATCCATGCAAGGGGGGGGGTTTTCCTCCCAGCAGCTCATTGCCCAGGCCTGGCTGGTGACTTTTACACATTTGTGTGTATAAAAGATTGTCCTGTGCTCGACTCTGACTGCTCAGGAGCAGGGGGGGTGTCTCTGAACAGCCAACAGCGAACACCACTAACGTTCTCAGCCCCTGTGTAAACTTAATTCTTGTTATTTAACATGATGACCCACCAGGCCAGGATTGCTTCTGTTCCCTGCTTTGTAGAGAACTCATTGCACGCAGGTAACCCCTCCATCTAATCTGCACAAAGCAGACTTGCCTCCTGAGTCTTTCCGTGCTGAAAGAGGCTTAGAGGGGAGGCACAGAACGAGTGCTGAGACATCCCTTTCAGGAAAATTAAAGCCAAATACTTTTCCTAGGCTGAGATTGCCATAAAAGGTACTGAGATATCTTCCAGCTTTTTTTACCTTCTCTGTTTCTTTTGTAGAACCCCACGTTCTAAATTTTTTGCAAAGATCTATTTTGATTACTTCAGAAAAAGGTAACATTTCTATTTAAAGTGTAAATACGTGATGCCAGCAGTGTTTAAGTAACGGAGCTATTTTTTTACTGTTGAAGCTACAGAGAGGAGCTCAACTGTTGCTATAATATGGCACTGTCAGAGCATATCAGTATTAGTGCAAACTGTATTAAAAAGCTGCAGGTGGAACAGCATCTCTTTCCTCTTAAACCAGCTTCAGCCATTTCCTTGTCACAAGAGGTCTTACCAGACACAGAACAGAGTCACTCAGGGATAGTTTTTGTAAATTTTATGGCAGGAGCTATCAACTTTTTTTTTTTATATAGAAAACTTCTCTTGCCAGTGACCAACACTTTGTTTTTGTTGTTGCAAGAAATATCCAGGGATGGCTATTTTGGATTCAGTTCCAACGAGGTGACAGAGTGACTTCAATGTTTGCTGCCCCTCTGCAGGTTCCCTAAAGCACTAACACGGTGTGACAGCTACAGCAACCCGACAGGTTTAAAGCTTACACGGCCAAGGCCACTGTTTCTGGAGCTGGGAAGGCAAAAGCACGACACAAAAGCACTTTCTCGGTGTCAGCTGAAACTTTTCTCTAGGTGGTAAAAAAAAAAAAACATAAAAAATTAATTTGGTTCTTTTGGCTTGAGAGAGAATAGCTGGAAACACATGAAAACACCCACGTTGGTGGTGTTGAACGGCAATAGGTGATACAAGATGTGGATGCAACACTAGAACTGTGCTGTGGTTTAAGAAGTTTTTTAATGTAGCATAATTTAGTGTTCTTGTATTTCCAATATAAATTGAGTTGTCTTAACTTTTCCTGTATACAGTATTTTGGATACTTGACGATTTGGACTGTCAGTGTTATTTTTTAGTGTTCTGCATTACTCTGCTTTGTTTCCTAAAGGCCCTCGCTGGACATGCCATTGCTGCATTTGTTTTGCCTAAGCAAAGCATTTCCACTTGTCCTTCTGCTGATGAAAGTAAAAATAAGGATGGGGCAGCAATAACCAGATGCTCTCTGTGTGATTCAGGCATTACCACTGCTCTTTTGCAACTATACTCTGGTAACCTTCTTAAGACAAGCTCTTCAGCCAAGCCAGCCAGTCCTGATTGCTGCTTCTAATCATTCTGACATTCCTTTGCACCCTCTGGATATCCACTGCTCCTTCTCTGTGCTGCTGCAAGGATACCTGTGATAAGGGAGAGAGAGGAAAGGGGTGAATCAGGGTAGCTCTGGGCACTATGGGAGCACAATCCACAGTCTCACCAGGCAGCCTTCCTGTGAAAAACCAGCAAAGCTAAGAATCAAAACTTCCATTATTTTCAGTTCTAAAATGCACAGTGGCATCTCTAACGAGAGAAGGGGAGGTGGTCCCCCTCCCCATACAGCTCGTGGGAGCTGATGGATGGAATTCATTGTATTGTTGTGAATAATATTCAGGTTTGTACTAATGTATTACGTTTAACTTTGCCAAGAATGTTTTACATAAATACCAAGCTATAAAGCATTCTTGTAGGGGTTTTTGTTTGGGTTTGGGCGTGGTTTTTAAACAGCCAGATTATGGGAGGTTTCTGTTTTCAATTCAGTGAAATAAGGGGAAGTCTCTTCTGTCAGAACATGCACTTATTTGTATTGGGATGAAGGTGACAAAGTCCAAGGTATGTTGCTGTTAATCAGTTTTTTCTTGGACATTTGTGTATTACTGGTTCTTCCCTAGAGAAGACTCATTAATGCACACAGGGCACATCTCAAACACTGCTCGAGGACAGAACAAAAACAACAGAAGCACAAAGTAGGAAATAAACTATCCCAATTTACCATTCAGAGTGGTTAAATGATAATTTAAGGCAGGAGAAAAGGCATGGAATGAATGGACGTGGCCATAATTGACCATCACTTAAGCCAGGGCCATCCTCTGTTCCCAGGTTTTGACTTTGGGAATAAAGTTTAACCTCACTGGAAGGTTTCTCTGATCTCCAAAACAGAGTAGGGAAAGTGAGGGCAAATGATGGGATTCCAGGGCAGGAGGGAAGTGCCCCCGTTTCCACTCGTGCAGCAAAGCCTGAGTAAGACAAACCAGCATGAATAAAACAGATCCCAGTCTCAACTTCCAATGAAATCCAGGGCCTGAGCTCTGCAACAGAAGGTAACCACAGAAAAACTTCAGTGTGGCATCAGGGAGACTCGGGAATGGTCAGATTCCAGCATTTCCAGAGCACATTTATAAGTTACCTGCACAGGACACAGCTCTGACTTACCCACCGTGATTTGAGTCATGCCCTGCTTGCAGATAAATCAGTCTCTATTTAAAAGCTGCTGGGTCCAACATTATTAATTGAACTGAGGGCCCAAGATACCAATGATGTGGTAGAAGAGACTTAAGAGGCTGTAGAAATCTATAGGAAAAAAAAAAATCACTTCTCTGTCAGCTCAACAAGAGGGGAGACGGCGTGGGCGGAATTAATTCCGTAACCATTTATTTTCATCAAATGCTAATAGTTGGAAATAACATAGTTCAGGAATGGAAATATTCCATAGAAAAAGAACATTAAGGCTGTTCATACACACAGGAGTTTGCACAACAAATAAGAGGTGATGTAGCGTGCAATTACCAGATTTAGGGGTGTGGCAGTGACAAGCTGTTTTACCTTTTCATCAAATTAAAGTAACTATTATATAACCAAGAGGGACCGTGAGGGATCGGGTGAATAAGCCCAGCCACTCACTGCCCAGCAAGCTGTGATAAGTGCATTTTATTGCAGCAACACTGTGCCCTCACTTTTTCAAATGGACAGATTATACATCCTGAGAGTGAAGAGCAAACCCCCCTTTATGCTGCAGCTTTCCAGCCCTCCAGTGAGCTGTGTCAGGAGCAGCAGCTTACAATCCATACATGTGCTAATGCAGGCTTTGTCTGCCCATATTCTGGGCAGTTCTGTGGAAAAGCCAGCTAAGAATAGATAGATAAGGAAGGACATGTGTTCCCAGTTTATAATTGCAGAGGGGAAGGCTTCAGGCACGTGGTGATGCTGTGCCCAGGCCCAGTGAAAGGCTCAGTTGTCTGCTTTCCGGGGGGTTCTGCGCTGGGAGCGGCGCAGAGGGACGTGCTGGCTGCTCCTTCTCCTGGCTGGGGATTCCACTTTCCACTCCCGAGGCCGGGATGGGCTGGAAGAAGGAAGCAGAACCACCATTTATTTCCAAGCCTTTATTTCCAGCCTTTCTCCCTGCAATTTCTGTGCAGAACTTACAGTTTCTCCAGCGATGTCAAACAGATAATATCAGTCGGCTTATCCTCATCCTCATCCTCTTTGCTCTCTGCAAAGAACACACACGTTTTCATATTTTAAAAAACGCCACAGATTTGCTCATTTGGTGTTTCTTTTTTTTTTTCCCCCCCACTTCCCTCAAGTTGGAATCCCAGAGATGACTTGCCTGGAGCTGAATCGGGTGTGTGCGTCAAGCTGATGCAACTGACCCCAGCCCCAAAAGTCAAGTCATTAATGGTCTCTGGAAAAATAAGAAAAAAGGCAAGAACATATTAACAGTCAGCTTGTGACACAGCCAGAGGGCAAGGCATGCTGCTGTGGAAACCTTAAGTGTCACCAAGTAAGTAAATCCAGTTAATTGCATACAAACACACACACACAGATATATATCTATTTTATACCCATATATTATATATCTATTTTATACCCATATATCTATTTTATACCCATATATCTATTTTATACCCATATATCTATTTTATACCCATATATCTATTTTATACCCATATATCTATTTTATACCCATATATTATATATCTATTTCATACCTATATATAATATATCTATTTCATACCTATATATATATATCTCTATCTCTCTCTATATATATATATTATATATCTATTTTCAGCCCACCAGACCTCAGTGTCTCCCATCCAGCCTCTGCGTTGAGTCTGATGGGCCACTGATGCACATCAGCTTCACACTCCAGCTTTCCTGGGAGGAGGAAATTCCTTAAATATGGGATGGTGTGCCTCCCTGTCCTGCCCTGGAGGGAGAGCCACACCTCCCACTGAAGCTTTGCCATCTTTCAGACCCACACCAGTTGCTCTGCCTGGTCAAGGCAGAATTTGGGGCCCCTGGAAACAGCCAAAGGACCTGAGCATGTTCCACGAGGAGCTGCCTGCAGCCAGACAAGAGGAATCACTTGACAAGGGAGCTGGGTAGAATTTAGCTTGCCTGAATAGGCCCTAGTTGTCAGCTGTCTCTTTCCTGTCATTTATCTCAGGAGGGATGTCACAATATTCAGATTTTACTTAACTCAACGCTCTGTTTTATGCTCATGTTTCCCAGAACCTTTCAGAAGGAATTAAGGTAGGAAGTGTTTCATAGGGCAGGAGTTGAAAACTCAGCTAAAAGGACTTCTCTTTACAGCTTTAACTGGGTTTGCTCTTTAACTCCTGCCCTGTCCTGGCAGGGAATCACTGAAGCTTAGAGTGGAAATCCAACTTGATCCATCTGCCTTAGCTCTTCTCTGCATCTCTCAGGAATGGTCTGTGTCAGTGTCCTGGCTTTGTGCAGTGTGTGCCTGAACAATTTACCTTGGTAATGAGACAGTTATGGGGGGCAAAGAAAGGGGGGGGCAAAGAAAGGGGGGGGCAAAGAAAGGGGGGGGCAAAGAAAGGGGGGGGCAAAGAAAGGGGGGGGCAAAGAAAGGGGGGGGCAAAGAAAGGGGGAGGCAAAGAAAGGGGGAGGCAAAGAAAGGGGGGGGCAAAGAAAGGGGGGGGCAAAGAAAGGGGGAGGCAAAGAAGTATCAAGCAGGGCTTCCCATGCAGTATGGGAAGGTGGTATCTTCACAACACATGTTTATGTACAATCCCCACTCACCTGGACCCACTTAAGCCATTCTCTAAGTAACAGGCAGGAGTTGAGTCCCAAAGACAGAAGGGAAGAGAGAGACAGCCAGAACAGCTGAGTAAGGCAAAGAGGAGGGACAGCTGCTCCCAACTTCTCGAGCACAAAAGTGTTTACAAAGAACTGCATGTCCAATACATTTAGAATGATCTAGCAGAGTAATGAACATGTTTTATTCTGATTGTCTCCCAGCCTTCGAGACCCAGCGCCACCATACAGATGGCTCAACACACGCCAACTGAAGTGATGATCCTGCTCTGTACAGTTTGTCTCCCTGCTGAAGGACACATGCTGCCTCCAAGCAAAGCAGGAATTCAGCCCTAGTACCACTGCAGATTAACATTTTTCCTCTTTTTTTTCACCATATGGTGCTTAAGAGAAACAGCCACGCAGGCTTCCAGAGACGTGGTGCTTGAAGAATTCTGCTCTCTAAAAAACACATCCCCAAGTTTTTTGGGTTTTTTTTTTTTGCACAAAGATCATTGCTTGTTGCTCAGGCAAAGAGAAACATCGAGGCAGACAACTCTGAGCACAGAGGGAAGAGCGGGATCAGATTTTCCAGTGGATGCACACCACTGGTTCGCTCCTGCCCACTCACGGCTGTCAGGTACTCCCAGCCTGCCTTATTGGCTCCATGTCTGCTCTGCTCTGTGTGTGCAGGGCAGGGGGGTGCAGACACAGGCAGAGACAGCTCAGACAGCTCTGTCTGGGAATGCCAGACCCTCCCCACAGCAACCCCCAAAGCCCAGTGAGAGCTGGCCTGTCACACACCCAGCTCGTGTGGAGCTCTCCCCAGAGCACGTGAGGGTGTTCATCACATGACTCACACTATGGCAGAGATGCCCTAAAATTGACAGCAAGGAAGGGAATCTCCTGCTGGAACTCAGCTCCATTTGTGTTTTACTATAACTGCCTCTTGTGCTTGCAGGGCTGTCAGAAAGCATTCCAACAAAACCTGCCTTTGGATGGTCAGGTCCTGTGAGAAGGCAGTTCAGCTGGACATAAGCACAGCAGACAGTCCCAATTTGTCCATCAGATTCCTCTCCATGTATTTGTACTTTCATTTCACAGCAGTAAGAGAACCAAATCATTCCTTCTCCAGTGCTCAGCTCAGTTCTCTCTCAGTGTGGAACACACACACTTAATTACTGTGCAGGTTGTTAATCCCTTTGGGCAGATCCTTCTGTGTTCTGCACTTGTCTCAGCCCACTGCCTGCTCCAGAAGCAGGTTGTAGCTCACCCCAGATCCTGTTTGGACAACAGGAACCCCTGAAAAGAGCCAGACCTTGAGGATCTCCCTCTGCAGCAGGTTCTGTAATTCAGCCTAAAAACACTCAGCTCTGCTTCCAGAGCCAAGGAGAGCAGTTGTGCAGTCTTGTACACTTTGGGCAGTGCTGGTAAGGAACCACAACAACATTCCTCCTCAGCACCCCAGAGTTGATGAAGGAAGAAAGGGCAGTGGCTCTGTTACTTCAGCATCCCAAAATAAATTCTCTCCTGCCCTGACCCAATGCTCTGATACCCTGTGACATGCACATGGGGACTATTGGACTGTCCTTTCCCATGGACACCATTCAGCTGAAACCATCAGCTTCAGAATGGTTCT